TCTCTCTCTCTCTCTCTCTCTCTCTCTCTCTCTCTCTCTCTCTCTCTCTCTCCCTTCCTTCCCTCTCTCTTTGTCTCTTTTCTTTTTAACCCTTCCGCGCGTTACGCGGCCGATCGCGCGCGCAAGCGCGCGCGCGCGCACAAACTTTTCCCTCTTTTCCTTCTACGACGTCTTTCACGGACGGGAAAGTCAGCCGTGCTATGGGGCCGTTGGTTTCCGATCATTTTCCCCGCGAGCGAGATCGCACGATTTTACCACGTGAGAGTGGGAAACAGGTGGGACCACGTCGATTTCGGAAAGATCGCGATCGACGATCGAGCGCGCTCGCGCCCGGTTTTTGAGTCGCGAGTCGCGACAAGCTAGGAGTGAAAGGTTTCCAGTGAGAATTAATGATGGATCTAGCTGGGATTACGTTTAGATAATTAGCCTTTGTAATAGACGGCAAGGATATTCCGAGGAAGACACGGCGTAATTTGAAGTGATTCCGGACCCCGGTCTATTCCCTTTAAATCTCATGGAATTTAAACGAAGTCGCGGCGGGATTGGTCGGACTGAAAAGGCAAACGCGGCAGGGAAAAGCTTAGCAGTTTGCAGCGTCGTAAAGTAACGGTTAATTCGCCTGAATGCAATCGCGTAAAATTGCCTGTCGGCTCTCTTAGCAGGACGGCATTCTTTCGCGTAAATTGACTCGACTGCTGATCGGGGCTGATTCCACGCTATGTGCCAATCGATCCCTAAAATATCTCCCGACAGTTTTGCGAATAGCTATATAATGCCAAGCGCAAATATAACGTAACGTTATTCATAGTGCCTGACAAATGAAATGAAGAATTATCTAGGATTGTCAGCAGTCAGGGAAAACCGCGGGAGAACTCAGGGGATTAAAATATAGTCCGGGAAAACCGGGAAAAGAGAATTAAGAAATTTCTTAATTTAACATAAAATTAAATTAATATCAATTCTAAATTTAAACTTTTCATCTTTAAAAATTAAAATTTTTTAAATTATTTAAAGAAATATTGTAAATATTTTTTATGATTTTTCAGTTTTGCAGTGAGCGATTTATAAAAAGTCATTAGCAGATATAATCAAAAGTTTCTTTTATTTTATCATTTTCCATTTATTTCCTATTATATATTTGTAGTTAGTAAAAATTTTGATACCCCTTTTTTATTTTGTTAAGTGCTTCTTTAACACTTCAGGGAATTCTTCTAAAAAGGGGTGTAGAGACAAAATAAGTAGGAAAAATCAGAACATTTTTTTTCTGTTTCACGTTAACAGTATTGTTATCGTCAATAAAAAATACGACAAAATAATATGTAATTAAAAAAATAGTACACATATCCGGAAAGAATGATTTTCCTTGAAGTTTCTAAAAATTTGACCAGATACAGATCTGAAAATAATTTTGTCGATCCATCCAAATGATTACGTAGGGCCTCCAAATTGACTGCTAGAATATCAAAAATTTTTTCATCACGTTTAAACTACATCGTACAACTTTGATTATCCAACAAAATTATTTTCAGATCTGTATCTGGTCAAACTTTAGATACTTAAGCAAAATCTTATCATATATTATGATAAATACAGATTCTTCTCCTTATCATATATTATGATAAATACAGATTCTTCTCCAGTTTCGTGCCACCAGAGAACATTCATTTAACTCTGCATCCTATTTTATAACATTTGCCTCGCGTAAAAATGTCGGTTTTATTATTTCCCAAGAGAGAGAGAGACGCCTCGTCGATTTATTTCGCTGACGGGACGTAATAATACATGCGAGTAATGTTACATAGTTTCGCCCGAAAAAAAAAAAGGATCGATTATGTACTCCAGTAAGATTCCAGCAAATTTCATGTTGCGTGTACACGTTTCGGAGATCGTATTAGCATGCTTATCGCATACGCTCGTTATCAGTCGACTGATTGAAACGAATGTCGAAGAAAATTGCGATATTACCTGGAACTACGATGTTATTGAACACTAAATTAAAAAATATCTTTAGCTTTACATACAGACGTTCGTTCAAGTTTAATAAACAGCGTAAGGGAGTGTTGCATTATTGACGATTAACTATCGGCTATTAAGACTGTTCGGGAATTGTTAATGTTATTTAGACAGGTCCGAAGGTTATATAATTTGAGTTTCCAGTATTTCCCTCACGTACGTAATCGAGAAACACATTAAGTCCAACGAAAATTTCAAAATACGTTACTACCGCACGCTATGGGATATGTCTTAGGGATCCCATCTGGTTTCCGTTATGTATTTTATCCAGAGGAAAAGACGGGAAGAGAGAGAAAGAGATTTTGCTACACGTGTTGCGTTTATTTCAATGTCGATCAAAAAAGTCACTCTTCCGTTAACCGAGGAGAGATGACTTGATAAATCTCTTCGTATTATCACGTTAAATATCTGGATATCAAAGTCGCAAAAAAAATAAACTCGTGAGTAAGATTAAAGATCTCTGATCTTTAATTTTAGATCTCTCTTCGGAACGATCTTGTCAACTTCCGTTCTTTTAATATTCTTGGATAACCGATGTTATTTTTCTGAGAAAATAACCTTTTGAAGTTTCTTCTTCGAAAACACATATCTTCAAACGAAATTTAGATTATCCAAAAAAAAACCTCGATTATTAATACATTTTCAAAAGCAAGATTATTTGGACTGTCAAAAAAAAAAGCAACTCGGCCATCTTTACGCGAGAAAATTTAAATGCTGCGGAGAATCTTGATCGACATATACATAGACAATGGATGTACTGTTTAAGATAATTGGTAGTCACTCACGCGGTAATTTATCTCGATTTCGAAATTAATCTCGAATAATCCTCGGTGATCGATAGGCGATACCGCAATTCTCTATTCGCTCCGATCATCATGATGACAACAAACGGCGCATAAAGCGTGATTAAAGGAGGCGGTAACGCGAGTAAACGGGTGACCCAATTTAGTAGCCGCTCGATTTTTTTCTACCCTTGATGCTCTTCGTTTACATTCGGCCGATAGCGATTTGCGCGCACAGAAGAGAAGAAGGGTGCTGCCCGCGCCCATCGATCGTCCACCGGAATCTCGTTCATCGCACTGCACGCACATGCGATCGCGCGATTGCGTGCATTAGCGCATGCACGCGTGAACGCACGAGGGAACGACAATGACGTGACACGCATCTCCTTCCCCCCCTCTCCCCTCCCTCCCTCCTCGCCTTTCTTCGAACTTGAATTAGACATTACACGAGCGCGATTTAAAGCTCCCCGGTGAACACAATAAAAGTAATGGAAGTTGGATGCCAAAGGACGAAAAAAAAATCAAATTTACCTGAAATATATCTCCAGATGTATTTGTAAGATTACGTTGTAATCTCATTAATCGTGAAAAAAATTCTGAGCTTTAAGTATTATATTGCGTTGCGATAATATCGTTACACGGCGCTTTTGTATAGCACTGCTTTTGTACACGGAAAGAATGGGTCTGCTGGAAAATGGCATTTCATCGGATACAGATCTAAAAATCAATTTGTTCAAAATAATTATGTAGAACATGCTTAAGCATGATGATAATGTTGCAAGAGTATTTGATATTCTAATGTAATCAATTTGAAAGGCCTACTAATTATTTTAATGGCCCAGGAAAATTATTCTCAGATCTATATCTGGCCAAACTTTTAGATACTTCAGCAAAATCATTCTCTTCGTGTAGAGGATTTTTCCTCTACACGAAAAGAATGATTTTGACTGACGGTACCCGTTTGAGCTTGGAAGATAGATGGTCGAGATAAAGATCGGAGACTGGTGGGAAATAGTTCAAGAGAACGGAGTAAACGATGTCTCTATCAATCGAAGCCAGCTCGATCTATATTTCTACATATCTATAAGCTCATCAAGCGCATTAATCTGAACGCTGTTCTCGTGTCGTGCTGCAGTTGTTCAATACCGATGTTCGAGGTCTTTAATACGTCAATAAGAAATCAGGGAGAATGACGGAGCCTATTCTTTGTGTTAAAATCGCGAAACCGATCGCTTATCGAGCGCTTATCGTCGGCAAATCGTCGGAATCATTAGCAAATACATCGGGTGAAGGATACATCTTTACATTGGACGCGCAAATGAACGATAAGCGTTCATCGGCGATGTTCCTCTTCATATACGGGGTGTGATTGTATTATTGGATATAATTTCACTTCCTTTTCGGCGAATACTCGAATACGCAAATCTCGAATCTACCTTTCGAAGTGGATGCTATACCTCGATGATTTTTGAGTGGGAGGCTATTAAGATTAATCTCCGAGTGCCGTACCAGTTACGAAACGGAATCTAAAAATAACGCGATATTTCGGAGAGCGCTCTAAGTTTCTGCATCTTGCAAACTTTGTAAGGTTTTTCTCTCGGCTAATGCACTCGCTGCGCTTTTTATTTACAAATACGGTTTACTTTGGTTATCTCTACAGGATATCCGATATGCATTCTTTACACGTATGACGTTTTCCATGACCCGCGCTGCTCGAGAGAGATCCGGTGTCTTTCGTCGTCCGAGTAAGAGTTACAAAATTATGCCGAAATCATAAATCTTGATAATAAATTCTGGATTTCGATAAAATAGGATTTTAAGTCTGATTTTACGCTTGTTTTCGATCATGCTGCGATCATACTGCTGGGTTCTCGTGTCACGGAATTTATCATTTATCTGGAAATTACCAAATATTGTCGCATCACATTACTAATAAAACAGACAGGAATCGATGAATAATAAGTATAATGTATAAACCAATAAATTGTACAGAAATATCTGCTCGATAAGATCGATTTGATTAAATAATTATTAATACAGGTTCGACGAACGCGCAGCATGTGATTTGTGACATCTGATTATGATATATGAGGGCTGCTGCAAACTGTGATGTATTTCTGAGCAAACGTTACAATGTGCCAATTTTCCACGTTTAGTTTTAATATCAACGGATATCAACGTTCTTAAAGGTTCGCGCCGATAGAGAGCTTAGATAAAATTTCGTTATCATTCTTGTATTAATTCCGATATTTGCCGATATCAGCGTCATCTAAAACTCCTCCGCTACAATGGTATAAAATATACAAAGTAAATTAACATACTAATATATAAGAATTAAAATATTAAAAATTATTTTATTCGATGTTTATATTTTGACATTTGACACTTTGACGTTTTAACATTTTTGTATTTTTAATTCATCCAAGTGTCCGTTTTTTTTCAATTCGAGGAAACACACGCCGCGAAATAATTGCGATACGAAACTGCACGATTGCGTCAAACACGATTCGCGATTATATTTGCGTTTTCTGTTTGGAAGGAACACGCGGCGATGCACGTACGATTGTTATTCCGGATACGTATAAACGCGAATGATTCGTCAGTCAATGGGAATAAGCAAACTCCCGTCGTGAGGAATAATACGAACGTATGGACTTCGAGCCGAACGGTTGCGCTGAAAAATACCACGTACCATTGGAGCGAGGACACGAAGACGAGTTATCTTTCTAGTACCATCGAAGATTGAATACCTGCTATCGTATTGATTCTGATTACAATACATTTTCACCTATAGTCGCGGAGAAAGGTGTGGCAGAATATTACATCGTGGGCTAGACCGTAAATCGATTACCAGCTGTGATAATCCTTCACATGACAATCTCTCGTATGACGTTTTATTTAACGATGTCAATGATACGCCACTATTTTATCATTAATGTGTCAACTATACTTTGTGTTAGTATTTCGATACCAAAGTCCAGAAAATGCAAGTTCAAATGCAAGTTTTTAAATATTCCCAGATTTTAAGAACTTTAATTTCGAAAAATGTTCTGTCTCAATATATATGCTTTGAGAAATTTAATGAATTCGTAACGATTATATTTTTCCTTCAAAAACTATATAAAATGCAAAATATGCGAAAAATTCTTGGCATTATCTACAGCTTATCTGTGAATTCATTATAAAATTGTTCATTTCTATTCTAGACTTTCATTGCGTTTTTTTTACTTAAAATGAAATAATTCCGATCGAAATCCGAACGGTTTCGTAATTATTACGAAAAACCCTTTCCCTTTTTTTATTCGCCAAGAATAAAACACATATATTTACATAAAATATAAATTAAATTCAAAGCATGTATCATTGCTGAAAATCTGCTCAGGAGAGTCAACCGGTTCTCGCTATACCTTGCAGATATTTGCTCTGCACTTGTCTCACACGGCCTATGAATATTTTTTTTCCGCATCGCGGTATGTACGCAGATGTGCCAGCATGTCCGAGGACGACGCGCAGGAAGCAGCCAGCGAGGAGATCGAGAGACAGGGATCCCTCTACGTGTTCCCGAATGCAAGCCGTCCGAGCTGCACGACTTCGTCGTCGTCGTCGTCGATCTCGACGGCGCCTCTCCAGCCGCCGCCTCCGCTGTCGTTCCTTCACGATGGCACGAGCACGGCGAGCACGGCGAGCACGGCGATGACGACCAGCGTTACCACGACGATGACGAGCACGTCGACGAAAAACAGCAACGGCGACGAGGACGAGGACGCCGTAGAGGAGGTCACCTCGCCGGCCAGGAGGAAACCCTTTCCGAGGACGCACGCGAGATCGGCGAGCCACGGTGGTGTCCTGGCGGATTGCACGACCGGATGGCAGACCTACGGATCATTCCTGGGCCGGCCGTTGACGGCGGTGGGAAGCGCCACGTCCGCTGGCCGACCGTCGGCGTTGAAAAAGCCGGGTCACCAGAGAGCCTTCAGTCAGGGTCAGGTGGCGGACGTGACGCAGGGCCAATCGGCTGTAACGGGACATCACCGTGTCGGCTCCAGAACGGACTTCATCCTGCCGCCAGGCCACAGGGAAGACGGCAGACCGCCCACTGCCGGCAGAATGCCTTCTTTTCGCGGCCATTCCCGTCAGGCGTCCAGGTACGAAGCGCGTACGAGAGCACGCGATTTATCATTGCCCCGAGTTGATAAAGCACGATCGAGTAACGGAATAATACTAACAATAGATAAATAGAAATCTACGAGGCAGATGTTACACTTACACGCAAAATCCAAAGATAAGCTCTATATTCAGCCGATATTGGTTTTTTTTTTTTTTTTTTTTTTGTTTGTTATGATAAAAAATTGAAAGAAATTTAAATCGTTGGTAATCAAAGTAAAGTTTTAAAAGTCTTTGAGAATCTTTTATATTTAGAATTATAAATGAAAAGAGAGATAATAAAAGATTTTATTCATCAGTTTGATATAATATAAAAATACATATAGAAATATTTGAAGAATCAGGCAATAAAGAAAAAAATATGATTTCTCTGAAAAAAAGTTTTGCTAAAGTATATAAAAATGTCACCAGATATAGATATCTAAAAATAATTTTCTTGGGAATAATATTAAAAGCTTTGACAATATCATCATACGTAACAGCTCTTCAGCAAAATCGTTTTTTCCGTAAATACAAATTGCATGCAATCTTACGCTGCATGATCATTAAAAATACATTGAGAGATAATTTGCATTTTTCATCAGCAATAATTAATCTATAATATTGACCGTTAAAATCGACCGTTTAACCTTTAAAGAAAGATCTCAGAATCTTTTTTTTGAAACCACCAAAATTTTGCTCCGAAAAAGATAACTTTAATATATAATAGGATATAAAATATGACATTAATTCGAGACATTAACACTAATTCTCGCAAGACCGATAAAATTTTACAAATTCACAATGAACGGCACTTTTTGCACAATAAAATACGATTTTTCTTTCGGAATATACTTTTTGCACAAGAGGCAAGACTTTAAACGCAGACTGTCGTGACTGTTTGCAGATCGGAGTCTATCTATACGATAAGACGTAGCGTCGCGCCTCCCTGGTGGAGGAGACTATGGGCTCATTGTTTCGGTCCGCTGCCGGAGGAGCCCCGTTTAAGGACAATAGTGCCGAATCACTTAGTTCCCCCGAAGACTCCGAAAAGACAGCATCCCAATGGAGACAGGGTGGACAACAGGTGAGAGAAGCAAGAATCATTTGCCCCGATTTACGACGATCGATTATTTCGCTCTTCCCCTTGCACGCTTCCCCTCTCACGTTTCTTCTTCAGGGTACGCACAACGAAGTACACCGCATTGAGCTTCCTACCTCGTAACCTGCTAGAGCAGTTCCACCGCGTGGCCAATCTGTACTTCATCTTCATCGTGCTGCTTAATTGGGTGCCGGCTATAAACGCCTTCGGCAAGGAGGTCGCCATGATCCCCGTGGTGTTTGTTTTGGGTGTCACGGCGCTTAAGGACTTCTTCGAAGATCGCCGGCGACTCGCCAGTGACCGACGTGTGAACAATTCCACCTGCCGCGTCTACGTTAGGTGAGTCGAACAAGCGAGTATAACATTTGCAGCCGTATATACGGCAAAGCCGTAGCGTACGGATCGTCTAAGTACGACCTGCCCTCCTTCTTCCCCTCTCGAAACTATCGTGGAAAAGCATATAGATATAACTCAAGTTTCACGAGTATCGTAAAAAGAGCTGATATAACATTACGCGTCTGCTGCGAATTATTTGAAAAGTTCGATAAGAGATGTTAACGTCGAACGTGCGATGAAATGCGTGGAAACAATAATGTGTCTATTACGTGTCTGTTATAGGAAAAATTTGCACGGAAACAGCACTTTTGTTAAAGCATATACAATTTTGGCTAGATATAGAAAATAAATGTGTTGTATCATCAAAACGATTATGTACGACACTCAAGCTGTTAAAAATTTTTCTACATTATCACGCTTAAGTGTTTTACATAATTATTTTAACGGTTCAACGAAATTATTTTCAAGTTTGTGTCTAGTCAAAATTTTTAGATACTTTAGCAAAATATTCTTTCCATGTATAGATGTGATTTAGAAAATTTTTATAAATATGATTTAATAAATATTTTAAATGAAAAATCTGAATTGTAGCAGGATTAATGTTTAGCAGGATAAAAAAATATAATTTCTTCCGCAACATTGTTTAGAAAATTTGAAATTATTTTTTATGGTGCTCTGTGGAAACACTATAAATAATTCTTTATATCATGTAAAAATTCTTATCTTCTTTTCTCTATTCTTATATCTAAAAATTATATTTAAATTGCACTTTCTGTCTAATTATTGCGAGTAATTCTCAAAGTAAAATCCGAAGAGTGAAGTAATAATAAGTAAATCCGTAGGCTTCAGTTTTAAGCTCTACTATCGCATTATGCACGGAGAAGCTTCGTTGAATGAAAAGTTGAACAGGGACGTTTAATTTTTCAATCGGTATCGGCCTTGCTCGTTTATCCTTGCTCGTGTTGCCGCGCGAGTCATTCCGTCGCTTCAGTTAGAATCCTTGCGGCAACGGAATCCGATAGATCGATTCCAATAAGACCGACAATTCCAGATATGTAGGTCATGTACATGCGAGCTCGCGCGCACCAGCGAGCGAGCGAGCGAGCGAGCGAACGGTCGGCCGGCGGTTGCATTGCGGTCGAACATGGTTAAAGAAAGTGTTCCGTACCGTTCTTTTTCCGCGAGACCGCTCCGCCTGTCGCACAATATGTCGTTCTAATACGTTCGCGTCAACATTGTTTACGTTTAATGCCGATCGACGTCGCCGCGCAAGTCGCGAGGTTGCGAAACCTGGCTGCAACGGGATCGCCATCCTTGGCGGGCGAACGGCACGCTTCGGATAACGCGCGTGTCGCGCGTTTGACAAGCGGTTAACGTTTGTCGCACGTCAAGTCGTTCGCCATTCGTCATTCGAACAGCCGCGCTCATTTTCGCGGCTCGCGCACGTCCGAAAAAAATTGTCCCGGCAAACGATCGCGTCACGAAAGCCGGAGGCTTTGCCGCACACGCGATCGAATCAGGGAGAATTCGTCGCGGCCGATACGCTTGCGCCGATAAACACCGTATGTACGCATGCCACGTGGGTTAGTTGCAGCGTAACGTGAGGATGGCCTGAGTACAGGCCATCCGAGAGGGGAACGAACGCCGAAATATCCGTCTCGTGACTTGCAACAATTTCGGATGATGATAACTGGGTCTATTAACGCTAATTTGAATTCTCTCCTATTGAAATGAAGTCTCTGCGTTTTTCAGACTTGTAAAATGGGTAATTCAATCAAGGAATAATTGGGTGTAAAAATTATTATAGGATCTTCGTCTGGAACAACCTGGGAAATCTGGGGATTCTCAAGGAATTTATTTATGCCTTGAAAAATCAAAAAATTCTTTGGGAATTTTATTAAAAAATTAAGGAATTTTTTAAAAATTGTGTTTTATAACATTTTGTTTTTATATTATAATTGGGAATTTACCGATTGAATTGTTAATAACAGTAGGACTACCTACTAGAATATACTGACTTTATGATTAATCCAATATTCAGTATTGAAGACGATTTCATGTTAGATATAATTTTGTTTAACAAGATGAATATTTATAAAAGTTGAATTTTCTATCAGTTATATATTATGTAATTGTTTGTTTGTAGCTTTCGAAAATAAAGTTTGAAAATTTTATGCAGTATAAAATATTTATTTTTTTAAGTTCCTTAGTTTCAAAATTTTTCAAATTTAGATATAGAAATTCTAATAATACTTAATTTTATTTTATAAATTATAAATTTTTATAAATGGAAAATATTAAAGATTTTGCATTATAAATATTTAATGCATTATAAAATACATGTAAAAATACTTTCATTTTACTTAGAATTTTTAACAAATTGCTTTACAAATTAGAGAATTCTTAGGAGATTTTTTTTTGTCAGCTTTGAGTAAACATCCTTTATACGATCATTTTGATTATTTACAAAGATTAGTGGTGTACATATTTTTATCCATTTACATCAAGTTTGTTTTGATTTATGTAGATAGAGAAAACTTGAGATATTCGTAAAACATCGAGAAAAAAATAATTTCTTCATAGTTAAAGTAATATTCTTAATTTACGTTCTGTCCGTGATTTCATGTAAAAATTAGCAATGAGTTTCCTCGTATAATTATGCTCAATTGCAGTTACAAGTTGGTCTGCCTAATCGTATTTGTTTCGATCGTTCATGCGAACGTGGGCAGTTTCGCGATCGTCACGAACCCTCGTTCATAATGCAACATAATCGGAAAATTGATCGATGACCTGGCAATTCCGATACGACGTCTTCCAACAAAGATTTCGTCGGTCGACCTTGCCCTTCGACGTGTCCTCCTCGCGTCATACACGTCGATTTCCTTTCAATATGAATTCGTATTCCCGATCACAGCTCGCGATACGATATCGCTTTTATAATTTGTACGATGGTCTTGATTTCGGCATGCAAACCGACATCGAGATATGATAAAAAAATATCGTTAATCACCTTATCGTATGACAATGAGATAAAATATTTATGCGTTTACGCGTTTTAAGAGAAAGTGTTCCGATCTACATATATCCGGCGTGATTATTACACGGATCTCTGCAGGCGCGACGTGTTACTTTGCCGATGCATTTGCGTGTTCTCTATCAAAGGAACGATCGATTCAAAAATTATGTTGGCGGCTGTTCGGCGACGGCGATTCTTCGAGTCGTGACTACACGCGCCTGCTAATCGTTCAACTCTATCGTTTCTGAACGTAACGTGTCCGCATAATAGTGCGAACAACTTCGTTCTCGCTTTCTCTCTCTCTCTCTCT